GACAAAGTAATTGAGGATATACGCGGACGTACTGTTGTAGAAACATTTTCCGAGTGACCACATGGATGCCTTTCAAATCAATCGTTCAACGTAGAAACAACCCTGGCATCAATCCATTCTTAATGTCAACGCATGCATCGATGTTCCCTTCATACCGCTGCATAGATTGATTGATTGATTCAGCCAGTCCACGCGAAACGAACACAGGTGCGTTTCGGGGGGTCCCTCCGACTCCTTCCTCACAAGCTTCCAGTAGTTCTGGAACTCTATGATTGGATTCCTGATGATGCTAATTAGCCCCGCGAGCAACCATCCTCACTGGCTGCCCGCTCGAACATGCTGGGTGAAACTCGCCAGATTGGCTTGAGGACGCCGTGAAGAGGATTTCGCATGCGCAGAACAGTCCAGTCAATGCGCGGAAGGTTGAAGAATTCCCGAACGTAGTATTCGGAGACCTCCTTTTCGATGTTCACGAGATCATCCTTCCGATAGAACTTGATCCCCTTGTCATACAAGTCTGCGGCGCGGTGGCTGTTTCTTATCCATTGCGACGACGGGTGATCGAAGGAAAGCCAGGTTCCAGGCTCTCCAGGATTTGGCGTTGTGATTTTCAAAGCCATTGCAAATCCAGTGAGACTTGAGATGCTCATGTAAGTGTTCGCTTGCGTGAACTCCGCAAAGGAGTCGAATGAGCCCAGGCATCGGAGGGGGACGGACGATGCCAGCAGCGAATATGGTCTCACTGCCGTTTGGGCAGCTGTGCAGCAACAGGCCTTCGACACCCAATCAATGCTGAGTAGCAGCCTTCTGTTGGTGATATCGACTGCACCAGAAGTGAGCCAATCGATTTTGTCCTACACTGGGCTCTAGCTAGCGAGAGAGCAGGTCAGGAAAGTCGTCTCGGAGCTGTACTCCTACCGCACTGCAATTGAAAGCAATAGGTTCACACGAGTGTGTTGAGCTAGTTTGCGGATTCGATCCATTCCAAGAATGTCTGGTTTGTGCCAGCCTATTCCGGCTTGTTTCGGCAGCAAGTTCAAGAATAGGTCGCCACTTTGGCCAGACTTTGTGCGAAGCTCGTGGGTGTTGGTGACGCGATTAATTCTTGAGAGAAATCTCTTCTAGCACATCAGGCTCAGGGCGGAACTTTGACGATATCAGTGCACTTGCGATCTGAACATGACTGATGCGGCGGATGACGGTCTTTGATACATGTCGTCTCGACTCAGGCGCTCTTCATCTAGAGTCTAGTCGGGGGCGATGGCTCAAGACTTGAGTTGGTGACCACGGAGCGGCCTGATCCAGCTCGTCCAATAGCCATCCAGGAGCTGATCAGGGAGCCGGGTCTACGCTACTAGCCCGGGCTGGCAACGTTGCATGCGACGGGCGCCGGACTTTACCGATTCGACATCTGCCGCCGTCAAGACCTGGCGACAAAGAGACGGTTCGTGCTTGGAACTAGGCTCTGAGATGAAGGGAGAGAATACGTGGTAATAAGGCTGGGACGTCCACGGGTTTTACGGACAATTTTATTTTTTTCGACGGCGTCGGATGATTGGCACCGGCAGACTGGATCAACATCATCTGTCAAAGAGAGAAAGAGATTGGCCCTCGGTGTCGGGGAGATTCTCCGACGACGAGGCTTCGCCGAAGGCATCTCGAAGCGAGGACGGGGTGCAGGGGTCATCGACGGAGATTGACGGGAATGTGGGCAATCGACAACACGTCCCACACAGCGGTGATGAGACTGTCCAATGAAGAAAAGGAGGGCGATCTGTTTGCAAAGAGGATCCTCTGTCGCGTGGTTCTGGGTCGGGTCTGGGTCGCAAACGGCGGGTTCGTGATGGGACCGATGGGCTTCTAGGGGTCTTGCTCCCTGGTGGGGGTGACAAGAGGGTCAGGCGAGATGTCACCAGCGCCGAATGTGTGGAACACCAAGCTCGATGGGTGTCATGGCTGCAGGTGTGGTTGCCGCGCGGTGGTCCTTGTCATGTTGGCGTGCAGACGCCATCGGATCCTGTCTTTGGATGTGGCCGAGGCAGAGCTGGACAGTGACCGCCGGCCGGAGAGAAAAGGCTGGCGGCGGGTGAGCGAGACGAGTATCCCAGAATCCCAGAGCCAAGAGGCAGCCCATGGGAAAGTTTGCGCGGGCGGGTCGCTAGTCGTCCACAGGGAAAGACGCTGAGGCCAAGGGGGACGGCCAGGAAGAATGTGCCAAGGCCCGAACGAAGTCGATGTTGATCTGATAAAAAAAAAATCTGCAGAAAGCTCTTTGTCCCGCTATTTCCACGCCTAGCTTCTCGAAGTGCGCTCGAAGCTTACGTACCGTCATGGCAACAAGGCTCGTTGCAGACGGATTTGCTAGTGCCTCGTACGTTGGCGAACCGGAACGACCAAAGCCCGGGTCTAAGAATACGAAAATTGACGGGCTCTGTCGAGACTGCACGATCAAGCAGACCGGGATGGCAGTGGCCCAAATGTCGAGAGTATGAATCACAGTTGTCGATGTCAAGTATTTCCTGGATTGCCGTAGAGGTGTAGCCGCCGAACCTGAAGCTTCTGATGCCCTGGAGAGAATCGAATGGCGGGGCCTGAAAGCCTCGCCCACCGTGGTAGGTATCCTACCTGCTGGGGGCAGGTACCATGTATCTCACTGAGGGCAGGTATCTCACTGAGGGCAGATATCTCACTGAAGGCAGGCGCCATTCAGCCAAAGGCTGCAGCACCACTGCCGGCACATCCACTGGCAGGGCAGAGTGGCTGCTGTGGGTGGACGCGCCACTGACGGCAGGGGCTTTTTGGGCGTTGGTGGGGGAGCGGCCTAGCAGGCAAGCAGGCAAGAGCGAGGAGCGAGTCTCCGTGGTGAGCACCGTCCGATCACGGCTGCTAGGGTTCGGCGGCCCCGCTCCATCTTATCAGATGGAGAGAGATCAAGCCACCGACAGGGGTGGCGTGGAGACACCGAGCTCATACCGAGCACCCATTGGCTTGGGAAAACTGTGACAGGATCTGGGCCGACAGAGGAAATCTGCAGAGCAGCACGGTGAAGCACCTGGGCAGGCATTGATTCATTCACAGGGCTGGAAGCGATGAGATGGGTTGTGGTTGAGGGTAGGTGAGACGTAGAGAAAGCACTGCAACAAGAGGGACGAGATCTGGAGCGACGTGCCCTGAACTCTGACCTTTCGCTGCAAGTGACGGTGCCTGATCAGAGGCATTCAAAGACTGTCAAGAGCGCCCCACCAGATGGCGAAGCAGGGACACATCGGGGACGTTAGCGCATCCTTGGCCGTCGCCTCGTCCGGGTCGTTCTGTCCCAAGAAACTTCTCCTCCATCTCCAGGAGGAAAGGATAACCGGTGGGGGGGGGAGGAGGAGCTTCTGAGGCAAGCTTCTGCACCGAAGCGGGAAGCAGCACCCAGCAACCTGGAAGGCCCCCAGAGACTCTTTCTTTCCTGGCGTTCCACGTACATAAGTCGCATGCGAACCCCGTCCGATGATCGTCCCTTCTCTCCTCCTTTCTCTTGGTGTGTGTGCCCTTTTTTTGATAGAGCATCTGACAGAGCATCTAACATTGCTCGCTGTTTGCTGTGACTCCATCTCTCGATTCGCCTTCACCTGCAGTCGATCTTCCTCGGTATGTCGCCCTTCTCCTCCTGGCGCCTCTGGTCGCCCTTCTCCTGGCGCCACTGGCCGCCGCCATGTCCCATCCCCAACCAAGGCCCTCTGCCCCCGCCAAACCTTGCTGCCCATGCCCCTCGCACCATGATAGACGACGGCAGCCTACAGTTGGCGTCATCCAAGTCTCTCTGTCCAATGTTGTTCGTCTTCTCAGCTCTTCACACTTGCTAATCCCCACTACAGCATCATCGCCATGGCCGACAAAGCGATGCCCGCGGCGCCTGCGTCGCCCGCGCGCTCCAACTCGAACTCGGGCTCCCACGAGGCCGACGAGAAGGGCAACATCCATGCCCAGCCCTCCTTTGACAACAATGTCCTGGCCTCCGGCCCCGGTGGCGTCGAGCCCCCCAAGAGCCTCGATGAGAAGTCGTACGGTGTCGCCCGCATGGAGGCCATCTCCAGCGTCATGACCCGCACCGACCGTCTCTTCATCTTCTTCGGCGTCTTCCTCGTGGCCTACGCCTACGGCCTCGACGGCACACTTCGTTACGCCTACCAGCCTTTCGCGACCGCCTCTTTCCGCACGCACTCTCTGCTCGCCACCGTCAACGTCCTGCGCTCCGTCATCGCCGCTGCGGCCCAGCCCACGGCCGCTAAGATTGCCGACGTCTTCGGTCGTGTCGAGCTCGTCTGCCTGTCTGTCTTGTTCTACGTCGTCGGCACCATTGTCGAGACCGTGTCCAACAATGTCGAGACGTTCGCGGCCGGCGCCGTCATCTACCAGATTGGCTACACCATGATCATGCTGCTCGTCATGGTCATCATTGCCGACATCACCTCGACCCGCTCGCGTCTTCTCTTCAGCTACATCCCCGCGACCCCCTTCATCATCAACACGTGGGTCAGCGGCGACATTTCGGAGCCCGTCCTTCTCGGCAGCCTGAGCTGGCGCTGGGGCATCGGCATGTGGTGCATCATTTACCCCTTTTGCGCCGTGCCCCTCATCATCTCGCTCACCATCGTCGGTCGTCGCGCCCGCCGCATGGGCCTTCTCGACCAGTACAAGACGTCGTTCCAGATCCTCGGCTTCAAGGCCGGCATGGTCGACCTCTTCTGGCGCCTCGACGTCATCGGCATCATCCTGCTGATCGCCGTCTTCGCCCTGATCCTCGTGCCGCTGACCATTGCCGGCGGCTTCGAGTCGCAGTGGACCCAGGCCAAGGTCATCGCGCCTCTCGTCATCGGCGTCCTCTGCATCCCCGCCTTCGTCCTGTGGCAGATGCGCACCCCGCACCCTCTGGTCCCCTTCCGCCTGATGCGCGACCGCGGCGTCTGGGGCGCCCTCGGAATCGCCCTGTTCCTCAACTTTGCCTGGTACATGCAGGGCAACTACCTGTATACCGTGCTGATTGTCGCCTTTGACATGTCCATCACGGCTGCGACGCGCATCACGTCGCTCTACTCCTTCGTCTCGGTCATCACCGGTTTCATCCTCGGCTTCATCGTCTTCAAGGTCCGCCGCCTCAAAGTCTTCATCGTCGCCGGCACCGTGCTCTTCCTCGTCGCCTTTGGCCTCCTCATCCACTTCCGCGGCTCGCCCTCGGACGCGCAGTCGTCTGGCGTCATCGGCGCCCAGGTCCTCCTCGGCATCGCCGGCGGCATGTTCCCCTATCCGGCACAGGCCTCGCTGCAGACGGCTCTGGACCACGAGAACCTCGCCGTCATGACGGGCCTCTACCTCGCAACCTATAACATTGGTTCCGCCTTTGGCAACACCGTGTCCGGCTCCTTCTGGACCCAGCTGCTGCCCTCTGAGCTGAACAAGAGGTTGGCCCAGTTCGGCAACGAGACGCTCGCGCAGACCATCTATGCCGACCCTTTCACCGTGCTCACCGAGTACCCCGTCGGCACCCCCGTGCGCACCGAGATTATCGCCTCGTACCAGCACATCCAGCGCCTCCTCTGCATCACGGGCATCTGCCTCTGCGTGCCGCTGATCGCCTTTGCGGCGTGCCTGCGCAACCCCCACCTCAACGACGAGCAGACGCTGGCCGAGGACAAGACGGTTGTGCGCCGGGACGAGGATGCCATTGTTCGCTGAGGTCGGTGGCGTCGACTCTTTTTAGCATGATTACAAGTAGACTTTAATGCGTAATGATTGATAGAGCCTGTGCGGTGAATGCGTGTTGGACTATGTGTGATGGGCAGCCGGTGAACTTATGAGAGGAACAGCCTACGGGGTCTTGAGCTACTGCAGATTGGCGTGTCACTTCCACTGTTCGGTGTGTGGCCAGACACGCTCGGGACCCTCTGTGTTAATGAGCAACAATATGATCACCTGAACACTGGCTCGCTCGAGGTGAGTTGCTTTTCTCTCGATCAGCGCCTTCGAATGGTAAACCATGTTGACAGGTCATGGCAAAAGCCATAGCAACAAGCCATAGCAACAAGGCTCAGTAACAAAACACGTGCACAGGTCAGATGCAGGCACGCAAACATGAGATGTAAGGTACGTTGTTATTAGATACTACTCATTATGCCTGGCTCAACGCTTGTGCGTACCAATCTTGGGTATTCTCGTCTCCTCCTGTATATTTGGACGCCAGAAAAGCAAAAATCGCAGTACGGATATGATGCGGACAGAAAGACAGAAAAGACGCAGCGCAGACAGCGGGTATGGACGAAGCTGATGCATCACTCTTGAACAGAAATAGGAAGAAAAAGGACAAGCCCGTGGACAAGAGACAAGAAGAAGCTCTAGACGTCAAGTCGCCCCGCTTCGCGCGCGCGGCGTGAGCATGATGGTCGCGGGCGCTTCGAGACGGTGTCGTCGAGGACGGCGACGACTCGTCGTTCTCGGCATAGCGGCAGCGGCTCCATGCAGCAAAGGTGTAGGGCAGGGCGCGCAGGGCCGGGTCGGCGCGCTGCTGGGCGAGGTGCACTGGATCCAGTACATCTGCTCGTGCTCGCGCAGGTAGCGGCTCCCGTGGAAGCTGTGGAGGACGACCTGGCGCGAGAGGAGGCCGAGCTTGCGGCGGTCGTCGGCGCGGGCGTAGAAGCGGCGCGTCAGCCACTCGACGTCGGCGGCGGCGATCTCGTCGGGGAGCACGGGGGCGCGCTCGGCCGGCGGCAGGGCGGCCTGGTCGGTGAAGCGCGCCCAGGGGCCGACCATGGCGAGCATGCTGACCTGGGCGCGGGCGAGGGCGAGGGGGTCGTTGGGCGGCACGACCTCGCCGTAGCGCTGGTCCGTCTTCTCCGGGTCGGTCAGCACGAGGGCGGTGGCGCCGACCTCGGTGGCGACGATGGGCACGCCGGCGAGGGCGGCCTCGCCGATGGCCAGCGGCAGGCCCTCGGAGATGGAGCTGTTCATGAAGAGCCAGGCGTCCTTGAGGACCTCCTTGGAGTTGCCGAAGCCGGCGAGCACGACGTGGTTGGCCAGCTTGGCGTCGACGATGAGCTTCTCCATCTCGAGGGCGTAGGCGGGCTGGCGGTCCTTGGCGCCGTAGACGACGAGCTTGTAGTCGGTGAAGCCGAAGCGGTTGATGATGATGTCGGCGGCCTGGATGGCGGCCTTGACGCCCTTGATCATCTGCACGTTGGACAGCATGACGACGGTGGGCGTCTCGGTGCGGATCTTGTCGACGGGGTTGTAGGCGTCCATGTTGGAGATGCCGTTGACGATGGGGTCGATCTTGCGGCGGAAGCCGTTGCGGCTGCAGAGGCGCGCGCCGTCGGTGCCGATCTCGGCCTCCCACATGGGGTTGAAGAGGGACGCGCACGGCATGACGACGTCGGTGTGGAAGTAGGCGAGGCGCGTCGCCAGGCCGATGCCGGCCAGCAGCATGGACTGCACCGACACGGGCAGCTCGGACTGGGCCGGCGAGATGTTGAGGCAGCACTCGCGCCAGAGGATGGCGTGGTCCCAGATGCCAAAGGTGACGCCGCGGCGGTACTTGAGCACCATGCCGAAGAGCGAGCTGATGCCGTGGTGCGTGCTCTGGAAGACGCGCGGGCAGCTCTGGGGCACGCCGACGGCGAAGATGAAGAAGTAGGCGAGGTAGATGTTGAGCGACTGGCGGAAGTCGAACATGCTGGGGCGCGCAATGTCGAAGCACTCGGACGGCGCCGCCATGTTGGCGTCGTCGTCGTACGGCATGAGCCAGGCGGCGATCCACGCCTGCTCGACCTCGGGTGCCTTCCACGTCTTGGTGTAGTCCTTGTGCTCGTAGTACTTGGCCATGGAGAGCATGGCGTTGCTGAGGCGGACGAGGTGCGACCGCGCGAGGCGCTTGGTGCGCGCGCCCCGGACGAACTCGGTGAGCAGCGGGATGAACGTCTCGACAATGTCGCGCTGCACCTCGGTGTCGTCGACCTTCTCGTCGACCTCGGACTCGAGCAGGTCGTCGATGATGCCGTGGTTGGGCGGTGCCGCCGTCGAGGCCCCAGAG